TCCCGCCCTCTGGACTGCACAGGAGACCCGGCAGATGCGGTGACATCCCGCCCTCTGGACTGCACAGGAGACCCAGAGCGCGGACTGGGAACGTGCACCGGGTGCTTCCAGCCGAGGCCGGGCCGGGCTGGCGTGGGGACTGCAGAGTCCCGATCGTTCCCACCTGCTGGCCACGTCCGTGCCAGCCGCCAGGCACCCACCCCGAGTCACCCACCAGCCCCCACCTTCCCCTCCAAAGAAAGCCCACGACTCGGAAAACGCGTTTCATAGAAACGCAACGACCCGGTTCCCAAACGGTGCAGAAAGAACTGAACGCCGGGGAAACACCGGTGGGATCCAGCGTGGATTCAGGTTCCAGCCGTGTCTCACTCGGGCCAGGGAAGGGTGAAACCACGTTCCCTCCAAAAAAACAGAAAACAGTTTCCAAAATGTGCATTTTTCTCAATTGCCTTCCCTATGTCGTGGCCACCCCTCTCTCGCTGTCTGAGGGTGTCACGATCCTGCTGAATGTGGCTACCCACCAAGGGACGTTGCCCTGTCCCTGCCTGGGGAGTTCAAAGTTGTAGAGAGTGAGATAAAAATTTACTCCTGACTCCTGGGCGAGTGTCCAAAAACCATCCACAGAAGAACCTGCTGGCTGCCCTGTCTCCCTCCTGCTCAAACATGCCCAGACATGAAGAGCTCTGCAAACTCTGGCCCCCAGGCCCCTGTTTCATAGGGCACCCCTTAAAGAGAATAAGGAACTCGTCCCCAGCAGCAAGACCTTGAAAATCCAGGCCAGACTGGGTGGGTTGGGTGGGTTTGCAGTTGTTACAAAGTTTTACACATTCCAAACCAAAATCAAAAGCAGACGAAATCTGCGGTTCCACTGGTGGCCCTGTCTCTGTGGGGAAGCTCACAGCTTGGGTGTTGAAGGGCTGAGCCCTTTATGGCCACACCTGGGGTAGCAGCCCCACCCCGTGGCCTGGCCATGGGCCCCATGCCCTGAGCGAAAGGGCCCTGGAACAAAGATACGGCATCTCAAATCCAGTTTTCAGGGCAGGAGGCAGAAGGGGTCACACCCCAGGACAAAGAAAAGACACTTCTGTTGGTGGCTAAAGCCCGCGTTTAACCAAAGGGAATATAAATTACTCTGTACCCAAACTAGCACTATTGTTTTTAAAAAGAGAATAAGAAAGAAAGAAAGAAAGTCAAGCCGCACCCCAGGGCGGCCTTTCTGGGGCTGCCAGGCCACAGTTCAAAGGCAGAGACTCTTCACGAAGCTTTTCAGTGTGGGGAAAACCAGTCGGGGAGATAAAGCGGGCTCCGAAATTCCTCCACCAGCAGACCGTGAAGAGCAGACGACATGTGGCACTGGCCGCAGGGCGTAGACCCACCGGACCAAGATTCTCCGGGGAAACCTGAGCCCGCCGGCCACGGCAGCCGTGTCCCCAAATGCAGGGGGAATAGAGAAAAACCTTCAGCCGCTTCCTTCAAATCAACCGGAGCTTCTGCAGAGGAGGAGGAGGAGGTGTGTCCGTCAGGACACCTCATCCGAATCGGATGCCCCCGGCGGACGAGCCTGTGTTTCGTGGCCAGGCCTCGGAGGGCAGACGTCCCTCTTGGGGTCCCTGGCGGGATGAGGTCTTGGGAGACCGAGCGGCCCTCAGTGTTTGTGGCAATAGCTGATTTTGCCTTCCGACTGCTCCAGGACGCCCAGCATCTCCTCGATGATGGCCCTGAGCGCCCTGCCCAGCTGGCCCGCGTTGTACGGCTTGCCCAGTGGGGGCACGTGCACAAAGGCGGATCGGCCGCGGCTCTGGTACAGAGAGGTGTAGTAGGTGAAGTCGCAGAGATACCTAAGCCGCGGGGGGCGGGGGTGGGAGAGAGAACACGACAGGTCACAGCGTCGGTCCGCAGACCAGGGGCACAGCCTCCCTCCAAGGCCAGACCTCCAGCCTCACCAGAAACCTGCAAGAAAGGCCACCGCTTCTGCCTCCGCAGGTTGGCAAAAACGGAAAAACCTGGTAACTCCCGGTGCTGTCGCACGTGCGGGGGAGCGGGCAGAGGGGAGGCTGGGGGGGTGGAGATCGGCTGCCCTCCCGGGCAAGGCGCTTCGGCAGGTGGGAAAATTGTAATCGCCCAGACTTTACGACCTGCCATGTCCAGTTTTAGAATCTACCGTCAGGAGCCATCTGTACGAGGAAACACAAACGAGGGTGCTCGCTGCCGTGCTATTACGTCTAGAAGCGGAAAAAGAGAAAGCAACCTCAACGTCCCCGGGTGCAGCGTGGCTTCGTAGACGCGGGTTCGTCCGCACCGTGGAATACTGCGAAGCTGTGGGTAAGGAGCGGACAGAGCCAGAAGGAAACGAAGAACTGTGTACCAACGGGTAAGCGAGGAAGGGAAAAAAGAGAGAATGGAGCCTTGGCGGAGATGCGCACCGTGGCCCCCAGGTGAAGCCCGAGGCAGGGAATTCTCAGGAAATGCACACCACGGGCCCCAACCACACAACAGCAAAGCAAAACGCGGCGAGACCCTAAACCTGCCCACCAAGTGACCTCTGCGTGCGCAGCAATCTGGGCATGGGAAGGAGGGTTCACGGTCCGGGTTTCTGACTTATCAGAGAGGTCCCCGCAGGGAAAGAGAGAGGGCAAGAGAATTTTTCGCAGTGAGAATGTATGAGGATACATTCTAGAATTATCTGTGTGATTAAAAATTCATTGTAAAAAGAGACTTGGCCAGGAGCGGTTGTTTGAGTCTATAATCCCAGCACTCTGGGAGGCCGAGGCGGGAGGATCACTTGAGCCCAGGAGTTCAAGACCAGCCTGGGCAAGAGCGAGATCCCGTCTCTACGAAAAATACAAAAATTAGCTGGGCATGGTGGCGCGTGCCTGTAGTCCCAGCTACTCAGGAGGCTGAGGCGGGAGGATCGCTTGAGCCCAGGAGTTTGAGGTTGCAGTGAGCTATGATGATGCCACTAGCCAGGGTGACAGAGTGAGATCCTGTCTCAAAAAAAAAAAAAAAAAAAATGAGGTCATACTGGATTGGGGGGGTCCCTAAATCTGGTGACTGGTGTCCTTACACCAGAAGGCCATGTGGACAGGCATAGGGAAGGTGATGTGACGACGGAGGCAGAGATCAAGGTGACAAGCCAAGGATCCCCAGCAGCCGCCACCAGAGAGGCCTGGGATGGGCTGTCCCTCAGCACCCCCAGAAGGAATCAACCCTGCTGGCACCATGACTGTAGCTTTCTGGCCTCCAGAACTGGAAGACGCCACGTTTCTGTAGAGCTAAGCCACCCAATTTGTGGGGTTTTGTGATAGCAGCCCCAGGAAACTAACACAGAAAGCGACCACTTGGGTCGAGGAAGAGGCAGAGAGGAGGACTGAGGCGGCGGCTGGGGCAACACCCAGGTGGGAGATGCTGAGGGCCTGGGTGGGGACCTGACGGTGGGGAGGAGTGGACAGGTCCATAATGAGGCCCAGGAACGGAACCAGACGCACCTGCTACATACACATAACTAGCACCTGCCTTGCACACACTGAGTGCTCACTCAACAGGCCAAAGTCAACATAATTGGCTCATTCGACACCAGGCTTGGTCAGTAGAGGAGGGAACCCCCGCTCACTCCCACCACACAGGGCCCTACCTGCCGGCATCCTGCGAGATGGTCACCGACACGTCCAGGCCCAGCGTGGTGACTCTCTTGCACACAGCGTCCATGTCGATGATGGAGTCGATGCTTTCAGGCCCATCCTCCACGCAGCACTGGGAGCCGGGGCAGAAGCGGCAGTTGTCCAAGCCCTTGTAGCCCTTGTTGTGGCCGCATTTCTCCAGCGTGACTGTGGTCGCCATGCCTGACACCCCCACGTGCACCACCAGCTGCAGACAGGCAGGCAGGACTTAACATGGCCTGGTCATGGGACTAGGGGTCCCCCCAGGCCAAGCAGTAGGTGCCATCCTCACTGAACTCAGCCTGGGGTTACACTGTTTCCGACCTCTTGCTGTTGGAATAGACCCCAGAGTCACTCTTGCAGAAAAGTATAGCCAAGTGAGACAGCCAAGGATTTGAAACATGCAAAGTTATTCACTGTAGCTCTTCTTGTTATTGCAACCAAATACCATAAAGAAACTAACTAGCTAATGGGGAGTTGGTTCAATAAATAATAAACTACTATGCAGCTGTTAAAAGGCCCAAGGCAGTTTCATATGGAATGATACTCAGGCACATTGCCAAACGCAAAAGGCAAGGTATAACGTCCAGTAATCTAGCCTAAAAATAGAGATGTCAGGAAGACAGTCACTTTAGCACTATTTATAAGAATGAGAAAAATGTCTGGAAACAACTAGCATGCCCAATGACAGGAGAATGAAAACATTAATTACTAAAGATTACCCATCCATTAACATAATAATGTTTAGGGAGAATTTTTAATGACCTAGGTCATTAGATGCTCATGATACAATATTTACAAAAAGCAGATACCAAGTTGAATACAGTTAAACTTCGACTACTGTATTAGTTACTTGTGTGTATGCCTAAGCGCAGAGGGGCATTATAAGAAAATATGTGAACATTTAAAAATTAGGTTGAAAAGTGTGCTATCACACGTGGCAGCCACGGGCCACATGTGGCTTGAAAAGCGACCCATTGAAACCGAGATGTGCAATCCGTGTAAAACACACACCAGATTTTGCAGACTAAGCACACAGACAAAATTAAACATCTCATTAATTTTTCATATGGATTACATGTTGAAATGATAATATTTTAGATATATTGGGTTACATTTAAAATATTTAAGATGACAATTTTGCCTTTTTTTTATGATTTTAATGTGGCTACTGGAAATTTTTTTTTTTTTAGAGATGGGGTCTCCCCCTGTTGCTCAGGCTGGTCTCAAATTCTCAAACTCCAGGACTCAAGTGATGCTCCCACATCAGCTTCCCGCGTCGCTGGGATTACAGGCGTGTGCCACCACGCCCAGCTGAGAATTTTAAATGTTCTGTGTGGCTGGGATGAGAATGTCTACCGGGTCGTGTTGCTTGAGAATGTATGTCCCTAATACATGCTTCGTCTGTGGCCAGAAGGAGAAAAGAAAGAAGAAAGAAAATAGAAAAAGAGAATGTGTCCCTGCGAGCAAGGGCTGTTTTGTTTCTATTGGCTGCTGGAGGCCCAGTGCCTGGCACCGCGTGACCGGGTGCACAGGACGCTGACTGCTGGCGAACGCAGAAATGAAACAGCGCCTGACATGTAGGGGGCCGGACGGTGGCCGTCCCCTCCAACAAAAAAGATATATCCGTGACCTCATGCCTGGAAACTATGAGTGTCACCCTATTTGGGAAAAGGTAATTACATTAAAGCTTGGTGTTTGTTTGTTTGTTTGTTTGAGACAGAGTCTCACTCTGTCGCCCTGGGTGGAGGGCAATGGCGTCATCACAGCTCACAGCAACCTCCAACTCCTGGCCTCAAGCGATCCTCCTGCCTCGGCCTCCCAGAGTGCTAGGATCACAGGCATGAGCCACCGCGCCCGGCCCGTTTTTGTTTGTTTCTTTTATTGGAATAAGGCAAGACCACACAGACGCAGCAGAGGAAGAAGCCCGTTTACAGGTGCTTTGATCCGGTCTTACGGAGCCTCTGCTTCCCCTCTGCAAAACGGGGAAAATGGGCTTGTTAGAAAGGAAGATTCCTCCAGCCGGTCCCGGGGAACCTGAAAGGGCAGGCTAGGGTGGGAAGCTAGGGGGGTTCCCACAGGGACCAGGACCTCACCTCTCAGAAACACCAGCCCACGGGGGTTCCCTGGTGGCTTTCTCCCCTGACCCCACGGAACTCTGCTCTCGGCCCACGGCCTTGGCTGGGCCGCATGTCCCTGTGGCGGGAGGGAAGGGTGTACTTCCTGCCTGGCCGGCCTCCGCTCCAATCATGTCTGGTAATAGCCACAACTCCCTCCCACACCCCGTGTCCCTTTATGCCACCCCCTACTCTGACTTCTCATTCCAGAAGGTTTGGAGAGGGCTGGTGCCACCTCCTGCCTGCCAGAGTGGGCATGTGACCCGGGCCTGGTGAATCAGAGCATTCCTTCCTTCCTCCCACCACAGTGATTGGTTCGGGGACCAGCATGTGACCCAAGCTGGCCAATGGGAATCAGCCATGGACTGTGGGGGCACTATAGGAGGAAAGGTGCTCTTTCTGTTGAGTGGCTGAATTAGGAAGAGGGCTGCCAGCAGCCACCTGTCTTTGCCACCATGAGGGAAGAGACTGCCAGAAGGCACTTCCCTCAGTGCAAATCAAAGCAACACAAAGCGGAAACCAAGAGGCCACAAGAGAATGCTGAGAACACTGCATGAGCACCTGAATCAAGCCAGACCTGAAGCACACCAACTTTTGTGTCCAAGCTATGTTGAGCTGTGTTTTAATAGTCACTGATAACCAAATGCATCCTACTGACACAGAGGTCTAGAGAGACAGAGCCTGGCTTTGTGAAGTCCTGAATGTTTGCTTTCTTCCCTCACCTCCAAAGCAATCCAGAAAAGTGCTGGGCTGTGGCATGGGTCATGTGTTTGACAGGAACGAAGCCACGCAAATCACCTGCATGTGAAGTGTGCCCCTGCAAGTCCTGCCCTTCATACTGCTCACCTGTGGGCTGTGCTTCTCCCACAGGGCAGGGATGAGTCTCTGGACCGTCTTGTACTCGACTGGAATCTCGTACACGTGTAGGTCCACACTGTCGCCAAGGCCCAGTTTTTCCAGCTCCTGGAAGCGAGGAGAGAGGGAGCGTCACCGCATCGGAGGGAGGCTGTAGGGATGACACATTCCCCAGGTAGAATGACCTGTCCTCAGAAAACGGGCGGCTCTCCGAACTCATTCCGCAGAACAAGGAGGGGCAAGTGCTGATCCACCCCAAATCGCTCTCGTCCCCCTCCCCACCGACTTCTCTCCAACTCTCCCTGCGTCTCCACGGGAGGCGGCGTGACGACGCGGCTTCTGGGGCCAGGCTGCTGGGTTTCAACCCTGCCCGTGTGACCGAGGGCAAGCCACTTAACCTCCCTGAGCCTTGGGTCCTCACCTGTAAAATGGGGATAATAAAGCGCTTGCCTCCTAGGAGAGCTGTAAGAATTAAATGAGCCCGTCCACACTAAGAGATCCAAGCAATGCCTGGCACATTTTAAATGTTCAAATAATGCTTGGTGCTGTTACTACTGTTGTTTTTGTTATCATCCTTTCCCCCTTGTTATACCTGATAAGAATTATTTATGGATTTGGTGCATGTGCATAGCGGGTTCTCAATGTATGTTTACAGATTGATTCAACTCCTTAGGGAGCTTCTAACCACCTCAGGGCACAACAGGCTTTAAGATTGTCATAGGCCAGGCGTGGTGGCTCACGCCTGTAATCCTAGCACTTTCAGAGGCTGTGGCAGGAGGATCGCTGGAGGCCAGGAGTTTGAGACCAGCCTAGGCAACACAGAGAGACCCTGTCTCTACAAAAAAAAATTAAGAAGAATCAGCCGGACATGGTGGTGTGCACCTGTAGTCCCGGCTACTCAGGAGGCTGAGACAGGAGGATCGCTTGAGCTCAGGAGTTCAAGGCTGCAGTGAGCTGTGATCGCGCCACTGCACTCCGGCCTGGGTGACACAGCAAGACCCTGTCTCTAAAAAAAAAAAAAAAAAAAGGAAGTCATGAATTATATACAAAAATGGGCTACATATAGCCGCGTGTGCGCTTTTCTGGGGAAGCACCAATGTTTTTCTCGGGGGCTGCCAAAGTTCCAGCCGTTAACTCCTTGGGGCCAAATCCCACAACCAGGTCTCCTTCCCATGGCTGGCCCACGGCACAGCACACAGCATACCAATGACCACGTCTGCGGCATGAACAACGACTCTGCCAGCCCCAGCACGCAGAGGCACGCAGAGAGGCTCAGGGGCAAAGGTTTCACCTCAATAAGAGAAAGTGAGAATGAGCGGATTAACAAAAGGTGGTCTACGGATACCATGGAGTTCCACTCAGCTAAAAGACACAGTGGTGATCTGGCACCTCTTGTATTCTCCTGGATGGGGCCGGAGCCCATTCTACTAAGTGAGGTACCACAAGAATGAAAAAACAAGCACCACATGTACTCACCATCAAGTTGGTATTAACTGATCAACACTTAAGTGCACATATAGTAGCAACATTCATCAGGTGTCGGGCAGGTGGGAGGGGGCAGGAAGGGATGGGTATATTCACACCTAATGGGTGAGGGGCACACCGTCTGGGGGATGGACACGCTTGAAGCTCTGACTCAGGGGCAAAGGCAATATAC